AAAGGATGTGTATTTGTGTATCTATCTTGCATCGCACATGTCTATTTTTGGGGCATGACAAGCGATATACATTTAACAACAACCAAGCTTTCGCATTTATTGTTTCTCCTTGTTTCAAATTATAAGAAAAACATTTGGAAGCCAAGATGTTTTGATATAGGGTAAAAGAGCAAATTGACCCATAAATTATATGTTCAAGAGTGTCTAGAATCCTAAACTAATTTTTTATGTAATGTTCCTTTTCAACTTTTAAAAATGATGTAATCTGACCTATAGTGTTAACTTTGACTATTAGTTGATTAGAAATAGATCTTAATAATTACAAAAAAATGATCAATAAAATTTTCTTGGTCATTTTTATTATTTTTTGGTCATTGTCTGTAATTTTTAGATTTTTACTATAACTTTTTGGTTTTTCTGTAATTTGCGAAGTCCTTTTCTATTATTTTTTAGTTAACTAACTATCACAATTAACTTTTATTAATGATAGGATTAGATTACACTATTTTTAAAAGTTGAAGGGGAATATTAGACAAAAAGTAAAAACAGAAAATAGTTAAAATATTACAGCTAAATGTATGAGGTCAAACTTATACAACAAAGAAAAACAATCACTATGTCTAACGGCAAGGGAACATTATTGGGATCCTGAATTATGTGGTTGCATGCATGCGGCGTACGTGTTTCGAGTTTCATCACCAAATAATCGTCCTGGACTTGCCCTCGTTATAACGGTATGGTAACCTGCTTTCATGCATAATTGCATATAGTTGACTGGATTTTTAGGTTAGTGGTATAAATTTATTTATTCAATGAATGTTTCATATGCATGGCACAATAACAATCATTTAGTTTAATCAAACGATTGCTAAAATTTTTATTAAACAATACTTAAAAAATATAAAAAGGTTAAATTTTCGGAAGGAACAACATACATGTGACGGGTGTTCATTATGGACGTTGTTTTGAATTTTTTAAAGGTAACATTTTGATAATTTTTAAGTATTAATAAAATCTTATGACTGTAATCAAGACACCCATTAAACAAGTAGATGTAGACTATTCATCGAATTCAAATTTATTGACTCTGTCCAGGAAACAATAAATTTGGAGTTTTTGCGTCTATTAAATGTAGTGAAACGCGCCGACCTTGAATTCTCATCAACTTCTAAATTTGGCTTGTGTGATGGGTAGCTGCAATATCAACAGTATATGACATTAATGTATAGATTTTAACTTTTTTTTAATCAAGTCTAACTTTTAACTATTTTGATTGTTATGACTTTAATAACATGTTATAAAAATATTTTATTATCAAAAAAGTTAAGTTTTTTAGTTGCATAAAATCCTTTATTATGTACCAAGTTTTGGGTTTTTCTTATACCTTTTATATTTGTAGGGTCTTGTTGCTTTAACATAGCTCTTGTTGAGCTAATTTACGGTCAATCTTTCAGAACCAAAAAAAAAAAAAATTATGGTCAGCCTCCAATGAAAGCAGGATCAAAACTTGGAATGGAGCTAATTGCTCACAATCAAGCTGGATGAGCTAATAGAAGGAGCTAGTTCCTCATAATATAATAAACAAATATTTGAATTCTCATATTTAGTGTCCGACCGTGTCTTGAATAAGATCATGCCTATGCTCAATAAAAAAAAAAAACTTAGAATGTGATTATAAGTTTAATCGAATTACCCTGCACTTCATTTGGGAATGTGTTATAGGGGAAAACTTATATACTTAATTAATCTTATATATTTAATGTGCTTGTTTTTAATTAAATCAAGATATATGATTATAGATTATTTATTCTCTAATAAATTCTTGTTATTAATTTTATTAAAATGTTAAGATCCACTTGTCATATTTTGATTGAATATAAGTCTATTAAGTACATAAAGTTAAGTATATAAGTCTTACCATATGTTATATTCAATAATCTAAAGGTCAATGAGGTTTTTTTTTTTTCCAGAGCTGAATCAAGGTTTCTACAATATTCCTTTCCCCTTTAAGAAAAAAAAAATTCTTCAAGAAACTTTGTATATAGAAAAGGTGTTTGAATAATATTTTAACAGGTTCCATCTCTTTCTCTTTATATTAGTTTAAAATTTAAAAATAAGTGATTTTTAGATAATAAAGAGATTTTATAAAAAAAGATTTATTTTATAGAGATTTTATAAAAATCAAACATTATTTTATGTTTGGTTATAATAATTAAAAAGAGTGATTATTAGATAGTTATTTTTTAATTTTATGATATTTTCTTTGATTTTTTTTATAAAAATAACTTATTATTTAATTAGTTTAAAATTTTGTGATATATCCAACCTTTTTAAACTATTCTCTCTCATCTACTGCATCAAATTATTTTTAGAGGTTACTCAAAGTAACATCTTAAAATAATTAAAAATTTGCCTTTTTTGTTCAAATTTTGATTATTTTTAAAAGTTTAAATAAATATCATAATAATTTTTTTAAAAAAATAAGTTTTTTTTTATAAAATAAGCTTGAACAAACCGCCCTAAATTTCCTTCCATCAAGCACGCACGGACCAAGGCAAACAATAAGCATAAAGACAAAATCCACAATGGCGTTCTCGCCACTTAATCTGCTAAAGTATAAAAATGCATCAGTTTGATAGAAAATGTTGGAAGTTGTATGTCAAACTTACTAGTTTAAGTAAACTCATAATGAAAGTCTAAACTTGGATCATAAACTTATAAAAATTTACATCTATTAATAAATAGCTATTAAAAATATATGATTTACATCAATAGACTATCATACTCAACATAGAAATTTCAAAATAGGACAACTTACTTTTTTATATTTTTTTATTAATATTAATTTTTGCTTTTTGAGTTTTATTTTTCTTTGAAGTAGGTCCTAAAGCTTTTATAAAGCAAGTTTTACACAATATATACTTGCCTTGTTTAATCAAGTTTACATCTAATCTGAGTGTATGAGTGAGTTGACACAATTTTGTAAATTAGAAATATAAAAATGATAAACTCGAAGAGTTAACTCATGAGTTTAACCAAGTTTGTATTTAGTTTGAGTATGAATAAGTTGACAAAATTTTGTAAATTAAAAACATCAAAACAATAAATGCAGATAGTCAATTAGAGAGTTTCACAACAATGGTCATCAACCACCCTACAATCCTATATATAGTTGTTGGATTTGGGATCCACACTTGATGGGTCAGAATATTCAAGGAGAACCGCTGACTGAATTAAATAATAGTAAATTAATGAGTAGTTAGTTTAATATTCCTCAAGATTAGTTTTGACTGATGAGTAAAAAAGATCAAATTTGAATTGACCTTATCCAAATCCCAAAGATCCTAATTATAATTAGTGGAGATATTAAAAGTTGTTGGATGATTCTCCTACCATCAGTTACAATAACTTTCCCACTACTATTTCGAAAGGTGATTACAACACATGGAGTAATAACTTGCATCGTAAGTATCTTAATCATCCCTATCATAAATAGGAATGGCCACCATAAGGCAGAAGCCATAGAGTGAAACACATTCTTCCCTGTCCTCTCTGATCATATGAGGTGAACCTGTTGTGCAGGAATTATAATAGGACCCAGCAGGCAATTCATAGCATGAATTCATTCGGCAAATTGCTGTCAACTCCTATTTATTATCACTACTAAAAAAATGTAATGTTAGTTATTTTTGTCTATATATAATAATTTTTAACTGGTTTATATTCTAGCATCATACATTTTCCAAGTAAATATATAGTAGTTTTTAATCATTATATATCGGAGGTCTATGTCACGGTTATTTGAAAATAAATGTTATATAATTTATTCCAATTTTTGCATATAGAGATATTTTAATCAACTATATAATGGTTTTCTACAAAATTTGGCCCAATTTTAGTCATTTTGACATGTTATTCAGCAAACTATATGGCAATTATTTGAAAACAACTTCTATGAATTTAGAACTATATAGTGGTTATCTCGTATAACCATTTTATATTTTCAACTATATAGTTCCAATTACATTGCAATTGTTTTCAAATTAAATAACTGCTATATATTTGAATTCTTTTTTTTTTATTAAATGTGGGGTCTGCTAGCAATTATAATACATAAATGGTTTTAGAAGAAAATATCCAACATTATTTCCTAATAATCACTACTATTAAAAAATCTATCCGTGACTACTTCAAAATGTCAAAAAATGCATATCCAGTAAACTATTTATGAGAATATGATTATTGGATTGGTGCTTGTGTCAGCAACATTGATTATAGTCATTCTCTAGATTTTTTTTTGAAGGGAATGACGATAGGCAAATTCATGTACGAAAATTCCTATATGGAGACCCTATACTTGCAACCAAATGCTTTGAAATAATATGGAATCATGTAGGACTTCATTCCATTCCTGAAGGTAGCGTCAGGATTAATGGACCTAATTTGGATTTTAGATTTTAAATATTTCATTTCAAATTGCATATTTAATACCCATATATTTAAAATCCTTTTTTGGGTAATGAAATATGTTGAGATTAAAAAAAAAATGAAAAACTAGGAACATTAACGAATTTATTTTTATTTTTTAATCAACAAGAGATGAGAAATTATACGAAAGTCATAGAGGTGTTCATAGTGAAAATACAAAAAGAACAAAATGTTTAAAGTAATTAAAATTTCAAATGACTGGAACTTATAAGGAATTTAAAATTACAAAGAAATTATAATAAGAAATGGATTCATAAATTTTTGTACATCTAAATGAGAAATTTAATTTAAATCCAAATCCTTGTTAATTCAAGTGCACCATAAGATTCTTGGAACCAATTGTGTCTTATGTTTTGCATCTCCATACACATGAAAGTACCACCTATATATTGTTCAACATACAACACGCCTTGTATTCAACAGAAAGAAGCTTATCCAAACTAATTTGAAATAGTGGTACTAGATAGATCTATCACTTCAGAGAGATTGGATTCAAATTATAAGCAAATTATCTATCTACCAGACAGAGTACTAAAGCCCGAATCAAATTTCGAGGTGATCATATCCATGGAACTGCTTGAATCATTGGTGTTGTGGCTAGTGATCTTTTCCAAGCTTATTTCCATTGCCAGACATTCCCTTAGTTCAACCACTACTTGACTTATATCAGGCCTTTGAATTGCAGATGGTGCAGTGCATGATATGGCTATCTCTAGAAATTTCGGAGCAGAATCAGAACTATATTGTCCTTGTAACTCTGGATCAATGATAGACTGAATATCCTTGCTTCCAAGTCTAATAGTGACCCATTGAAGAAGGAGACTAAAGGTATGGTCTGGTTGTCTATTTGCTGCTGGTTTTCCAGTCATTAGCTCTAACAGAATTATTCCAAAACTATAAATATCACTCCTTTTCGTAAGGTTTCCTGAATTTTGAAATCTGTAAAAATTAAAGAGAAGAAAACTATAGGTGAGTCCTAAAAATAAAATAAAAGGTTCTCCATAAGCTTTGTTCGGGAAGAATTGTCTTCTCAACCAGAATTTTGTCCCATGCATTGCTTGGTATAGATTAAACAGATAGAAAACATTATCTAAAAAACAAGTTATAATTAAGATTTGCTGCAAAATAAAACTTTAGTTTGAGGCTGATGAATAATACCTATAATGTCATGCTATTAAAAAAAATTGATGAACTAAACTGCAAAATGAGTTTAATATGTCTTCCAATTAATTCAATTGTGTTCATTCCATATGCTTTTTGTATTGGATATCTCAGTTTGCCTCCTAATTTAGTGGTCATCGCATCCTGGATATGGCATTTGGACCATCCAAATTAATTTTGCATGTTAAATATTCTTTCTTTAGAAAGTAGCAATTAGAAGAATAATTTTAGTTTCCATTTTGCACTATTAAAAAAATGTTGAAATATTTTCCAAAAAATAGAACATAATACAATCTGGATGGTTTAATTTTATTATGGAAATATTTGCATGAAGTGAGTATGAGATCGGCCATCCCATTTTCTTGTTAATAAGCTTCAAATTAATTTTTTAGGCTTTCTTAATGTTAGAGAATGCATACACGCACACATATGTATGTATGCTATAAATAAAAATACTTACTCAGGATCAAGGTATCCAAATGTTTTAACAGGACGAGTTGAGACATGACTATCAATATCATTTGCAAAAGCACTAGACAATCCAAAGTCTGCAATCTTAGCTTCCATAGTTTTATCCAGCAAAATGTTGGAAGCTTTTAGGTCTCTATGCATGATCGCTGGCTTACAACCATTATGCAAATAATCCAATCCTCCAACTCCATTTATTATATACACACATGTATAACAAAACAAATTATTTATTATTGTTATCGATTCTTATCTAAATAGAAGAGTGACTCCAAAATCCAGTTTACCCTATGAATAAATATTAATTTGTAAGAAAGAATGAAATTAAAGTTTCATTTTTTAAGTTCTTTAAAAATTATTTTTTATCAAAATGTTATTTATGTATTTTCATATAACTTAGAAAATCATACATTACATATTTAACACTTATTTACAAAATTACCATCACCTCTATTTTTTATGTCACTTTTACAAAAAGTGATATAGATTGAGGGATGTAAAATATATATTTTGTAGTAGTGATAATTTATTTAAATTTAAAATATGTAAATTTTCCTTCACGACTTCAAAGAATCCCATCATACATCTCATAAAAGCTTTCATTTTGGCCAATCTAATAAATACAAAAGGTTACCAAAATTAGTTTTGTTTACCATGTGCTGCGTCCACTGCAATTTAAAGCCTGTCCTTCCATTTCAAAGCACCCGCGTTGTTACCTGTATAACTAAAGTATTTAGATTTATTTTTTATATACACCTTCAAAAGGTTATCAATGAGGAAATTAATGGATTACTAATTTGTCTAAAAGTAGAAAAAACTTTCAATTGTACCCATATTTAAATAAAATATATGTATTGAAGCGAATGAGTCTACTTATACGTATGCAAAACACTGGAGCGTTGAAATTTATGCATGTAAAGCTTCTCTACCGTAAAATATTAACGCATTAACTTAACTTTTTATTTGTGTATTATAAGCAATGCAGCTTTTATAGATTTTGATATATACTGATGTTAATTATTGATTATTAGCTGTTACCGATTTAGAATGTCTAATATAATCAAGCTTGTAGAAGCTCCAACCCAAAAGGGCAAATAATTAGAACCTCTTACAAGGAAGATTTTCATAACTGCTAAGTGTTGGTGGAGGTCGCCATTAGCCATATACTCATAAATTAATGCCCTAACACCACTTTCTTCACAGTACCCTATCAGAGAAACTAAGTGTCTATGATGAACAACCATCAAAAGTTCTACCTGCAAGATTATACTTAATTTTATCATCTATATGAGACTTAATTACATGGAACAAATAAATGTCTCACAGAACAAGGCATCCATGAGAATGCAAAAATAATTTCACTTTTAGATTTCGAGTTCACCTCCGATTGAAATTCGCTATGACCTTGCATTGATGATTGAGAAAGTAACTTGACTGCAACTTGAGTATTATTCTTAAGAGTTCCCAAATAAACTTTTCCAAATTCCCCTTGTCCAATCAAGTTTTGAAAGTTATCAGTAATCTCAAGAATTTCGGAGTAAGAAAAGGCACGATTTCTTGAATATGCCGATGCTTCTTGCTTTGTTGAAACAGTAGAATCCACTGCAAATGTTAATAACGATTATTAGAACTTCACGTCAGGTGTGTGTCATGAATTGCGAAGATGAAGATTGCACAAAATAACATTAAAAATGTGAACATTAGCACTTTGATATTTTCTATACTATGTCAAAGGGTTGTGACTAATAAATTGAGATAATTACTTTACAGACAGTTATTATAGCGCAAACGAGAATATATAATGTATTTCCATGACAAGAATGACATCCCAGGGGCTGCTTAGCATGACGGATATAGGCAGGGGAATAAGAACTTTCCAAAAAAGAGTTAGAAAGATTTTTTTTATTGCTAACGTATGCCCTCTTATATTGGCGACAACATATTTAAAGCATGGTTGGGTACCAAATGTGAATACTTCTTCTAACGAAGATTTAAATCTTAGTTTGTCAAGTTGCAAGGAACTAACTCTTTTTGTTAGACCCAACTATTATTGATCAAGGAGGTTGTAGGAAGTTGGTTTTTCCCCAGTTTTTTATTAATTTCTGAAAATATGCTTTATAATTAAACCTTCTAAACCGAAAATCAGGATATTTAAGTCATTAACATTATATATTAATATTTTAAACAAGCAAGACGTAAATACTTCCTAGGATGTACTAAGAATTATAAGTAATTGGCAAAACTAAGGACTTCCTAATTAATTTTCAAATTATCAAGATATAACATAGAAAAAAAATATTGAAACTAGTCTACACATGTCAGGACTTGTCCGTGGTAAGTTTGAATGTGCAAGGACCTTCTCATGACAAGTTTTGATATGCTAGGACTTGCTTGTGGACTAGTCTAGACCTGCCACGGACCTTCCCAAACTTACCCAGACGTTGCATGAACTTGCCATACACTTGTTTGAGGCTACCAATACTTGATTGGACCTTGTAAACACTTGCTATGGATTTGCCCTAAGTTACCAACGCCTAACCGGGCCTTGTAAGTTTTAAACACTTGCTATGGCTTGTTCAAGATTTCCAATACTTGCTCGGACCTAACCTTGGGCTTGCCCGAGGGCTTCTTTGTTTTGGCCTATCATGGAAGAGAAGATTCTTTCTTTCGTTTGGAATGTGTATTTGTGTATATATATCCATTATGCTTATAATATTGAAAAGTATTGTATTTTATTATTTTTAATTCAAAGACAAAAATAATTTTCATCAGTAAAATTGTTATTTTATTTTATTTTATTTTATTTTTTTCATTTCATTCAATACTTTCTAAGGAAGAAGTTACATGAGCAAATAGTAATAAAAATAAGGAGTTGCGTACCTTTCTTTTTCTTAAATTTGAAGAGCCATATTCCTAGGGAAATAACCAAGATAATGACAGTCAAAGCTAAAACAGCTACAATAACTAGAATAACGAACTTATGCTTTTTGCATGAATTTCTCGAACAGAGGCCGGGGTTGTCATCTAAACTGAAAGATAACTCAAAGTAATTAAGTTAGCATTGCAAATGACTTAGTAATTGTGTTGAGTTTTATTTTGGGCTGTTGCCTGAAAACCTAAGTCAAGAGAAATAAAATTGGCTCGAGCACCATTGAAACACATCCAATTTAATCACATTAAATTGATATTGATCAATTAATTTTAGGTTAATTCCCATAAGGAACAACTAAAAAGAAAGTCAATCACACAACTAAGCAAATAGGATAGATTAAGATGAGAAACCTCATTTGCAGATCTGGTTTGTCCTCAAGAGCTTTGGGAATTGAGCCGGTAAGCTTGTTGCCACTTAAAATACTGTGGAAAAAAATTATGAAATATAATCACTTGGTGATCTTTGAAGTTGTTTGCAGGATATATATACTCTAGCTAGCAGCGAATCCTAGTCCATTTAACTAATCAATACTTACAGAACTCTCAACTTTGTCAATTCAGCTAGAACTTCTTGTATTGATCTTGATAAATCATTACCAGACAAATCCCTAAAAGAAAGCAAAGAAATATTTTAGACGATATATATATATATGTATGCATGTATTCTTGTATTAATTAACGATTTTTTTTTTCCTGTGCTTAAATTAATTACTATATACTTACAGGGACTCTAAGTCGGTAAATTGTGAAAATGAAGTAGCTGTGTGTCCTGTTAACCTGCTCGTGCTCAAGTTTCTTCTTGCAATAATGATCAACAGATGCTTATAAGACAGGTGATTATAAAGTTTTCTCAAAGCTGAGTTAATTAATTTTAAATCCACTTGACATAACCGCAAATTGATCTTGAGTCAAGTCAATTTTGCATTTGAGAATTAAACATTAAAGCATTTAGAATGAGTGGAACTAATCACGCAGTTCTTATATTACTACAAGGGAACGTTCATAACTTCAACCATTTTCACCAAGTTGCTCTATTAGATCTAACCTCTTTACTTTATAGTTAAAGGAGCCAAATCTCACAATGAGGTGATTCTTGCGTTGGACTCATTGATGCCATATCTGCAGCTAAGTCCCTCCCATGCATATTCATTGGGAACACATGAGTCACCTTGCCAATCTACTTTGGAGATTTTGTACGTGTTCTTGATATCCAGAATGGCATCCACTATTATTGCCAATAGTAAATAGGGCCTCAGGAGTCAAAGTCAAACACATTCTCATACACACAGAAATTATAGAATATAAAGGAAATTGTGCGAACAAGGAATTAAAGAGTAGCGCATACATACCATCTATTTGGTTTGTTGGGGAAGTTAGTGGTCATATGAATTTGTAAATCTCGAAGGCATTGAGGATTGGAGGAACGTCAGATTCTGATGTTGCACTTATGCTGAAACGGAAATCACTTTGATTTGTAAAAGCAGCAACTGTCTGTGGTTTCAAGTATTCAAGAGCTAAAGGCTCTTTGAGGATGGTTTCATCGTTAACTGTAATATTGATTACTCTTTTTTGCCCTTGGAGAAGCTACCCAATTTCAGCAAAGTGAAAGTAGACATGACTTTTCAAATGCACCACCCCAAACAAAACTAGTATCGAAGTCTAAAGAAAATGAGCGATTCAATGATTGGGCTGCAGATATCATAACTTGTGATGGTAATTTATAATAATCATTTGTGCTTCCACGATCAATATTTACGTATCTATTGAATGGGTGCCAATCTGCCACTTTAGAAACTCGGTCATAGCGCCACACACGATCATAGATGTCATCTATGTACCTATAGATGCTTGCATGATTAGATAAATGAATTTAATTTGAGAATTGCTTACATGCTTGTTTGAGGAACTCTATCATGGAAATGACTTGTTCCATCAATCCATAGCAGGACAAATAAGAAAGCAAGTGTATGGGCCCTTGAAGCCAACATTAAATTTAGGGTTATGAGTCATTTTTGCCCAAGAACTTTTTTTCTAGAGTCCACAGGTATCATGAACTCAATATTGTGTCATTTCTGTCCTGAATATTCAAAATGCACTACCTCATCACCTCATTGTTAATGTACTTAATTAACACATTTTCTTTTTGTTGGACTGAGTCCCACCATTTTATATATTTTTATAATAAAATAACGAATTGAGAGTCACTTTTGCTCCTAAACTTTTTCCTTAAGGTTACTTTTTCCCCCAAAAGTAAACTTAGGCGCAAAAGTGACCCTTGCCCAATATTTTATTATAAAAAATATAAAGGATGGTGAGATCCCCTCAATTAGAAATGGATGTCATGATGCATTAATGGTGAGGTGATGAAGCACAACATTTCGACCTTTAGGTGACAAAAATGATTGTCAATTGAGTTCAAAGTGTCTGCAGACCCTAAGGGTAAAGTTCAAAGATAAAATGAACCTCAACTCTTTAGTTTTAGATCCAGAAAATAATCAATGAGAGAATAGAAAACTGAAATAAAGAAACAATTAATAATCCCTTATTAAAGGAGAGGAGGGGAGGGGAGGGAGTCAAAATCCTTCACTAGCCCTTCCCCGAGGGACACAGGATCTAGGCAACCTATATTAGGTAATTATAAAAAATTATAAAAATTTTTAAAAAAATCCTGCTTGATCACCAAGCTAAATAGTTAAGATTTAATTGAGATGGCCCACATTTAATGTTAAATTTTTTTATAATTTTTATAAGTTAATTATTCATATTTTTTTCTTAGTGTTTACATTTAAAAATTGTAATTTATAATATTTTTGATAAAGTTCATGTTATTTTTAATATTATATTTATCAAAATAAAAATTATAAAAAAATTAATATTAAATGTTAACTGTTCAGAGTACATTTAGATAATCAAATTTTAAAAAATTTAATATTAAATTGAATTATCTAGAGGAATAAACTAGCTAATAGTAAGTTAATAATTTCACCATTATTAAAAATTTTCTATTTTATTTATAATTAATATATTATAATTTATTAATTTTTCTATTTTTATACAAAAATGAATTATTTATTAAATTTTATCCTAGTAATAAAACTTATTTTCTTATAAGAGAGAAGGGAAAAAAGTCAACTTTTTAACATTATAAATAATTTTAAATTTTCAAAATAACATGGAAGCAATTTAGTCATGTTTAATTTTCTCTCTTCTTTCCAATTTTTAAGCTCCCCTCCCTTCCACTTCATTTTTTTTTTAATCAACCCAATGAAGGAAAGGGACTAATATTCTCCCCTCCAAAGCACCCTAATCAAACACACCCTCTAATGAGTAGGTTTCGGTGTATTCAATGATGGCTGTGTACATACAATCTAGTTGAGTAACACAATCTTTGAATACGACGATAATACCCAAGATATACAGTATCAGCTACGTTATAGTATGATGTGATAATCCTATCTAATATTTACGTATCAGAGATACAGCTAACGGTGAGACAAAGACTTGGTCATCGTGGGTTCTGAGTTATTGGTTTCAGGCCTAGAACATGTGGACACGCTAATACCTTTTAATTTGGTGAGCAAGCATGGATGCGAGTTATATAGCTAAGATAAAATACATATAAGGTTGAACATGAATACATGCAAACACAACACGCTAGAGAACATAAATTTCAATTTAAAAAAAAAAACAAAATATAATAAATTTGGAGTCACCTGCTGAAGTTATCTGAAGTCGTGGAATTCTTGCCTCAAGGATTAACAGTGATTAAGAAGGGAGAGGAGTCAGATAAATAGAAGTACTGAGAGGTCGTAGTTCTAATGTAGAAAGGAAACGTATTCCTTTGCCAGACTTGACAAGGCAAACATGTATGGTGTCTGTTGTGGGAGTATAGATAATCTCCACAAATCGATAACGTGTGTTTGGATAAATATCTGTCCAGTGATTGACCTCCAATATATAATGATTTAAAACTATTATATATTTACTTGGAAAATATATTATGCTAGAATATAAACCAGTTAAAAATTGTTATATATAGACAAAAATAATTAATACTTTATTCATTTTAAATTATAAGACACTTTTAAAAGAGTTTTTTCATTTTAAAATATAAAACATTTTGGGTATATTAATGTTTCATTAAATATATCAATTTCAATATTACTCTTTCTCTTATAATTAATTTTCATCTCTTCTCTTATTAATATATTAAATTATAGATATTTTTAAAAGTTATTTTTATTTTGAAAAGATAAGGTTGTTAAGTATATTTAATAAGGTTTATTGATATATGAGATTTTATCTAAAAATATCTTATAATCTAAGACATAAGGAGTATTATTTTATTTTTTTTAACAGTGATAATCAATAGGAGTTGACAGCAATTTGCCGAATGCATTCATGCTATGAATTGACTACTGGATCCTATTATAATTTTTGTACAACAGATGCACCTCAAATGATCAGACAGGAGAGAGAAGAATGTGTTTCACTCTATGTGTTCTGACTTATGGATTGGTGGCCATTCCTGTTTATGATAGGGATGATTAAGATATTTACGGTGCAAGTTATTATTCCATGTGCAACCACCTTTCGAAATAGTAGTGGAAAAGTGATTGTAACTGACTGGAGGAGAATCATCCAACAACTTTTAATATCTCCATTAATTATAATTAGGATATTTGGGATTCGGATAAGGTCAATTCAAATTTGATCTTTTTTACTCATCAATCAAAGCTAATTTTGATGGATATTAAATTAATTACTCATTAATTTATTATTATTTAATTCAGTCAGCGGTTCTCCTTGAATATTCTGACCCATCAAGGATGGATCTCAAATCCAACAACAATATATAGAATTGCAGGGAGGTTGATGACCATTGTTGTGAAACTCTCCAATCAACTGTCTGCTTTTATCATTTTGATGTTTTTAACTTACAAAATTTTATCAACTTATTCATACTCAGATTAGATACAAATTTAATTAAACTCACGAGTTTATCATTTTTATGTTTTTAATTTATAAAATTGTGTTAACTTACTCATATGCTCAGACTAGACGTAAACTTGATTAAATAAGATAGGTAAATATTGTGTAAAACTTGCTTCATAAAAGCTTTAGGACCTAATTCAAAGGAAAATAAAACTCAAAATGTAAAAACTAATATTAATAAAAAAATATAAAAAAGTAAGTTGTTCTATTTTAAAATTTTTTATATTGAGTATGATAGTCTATCAAAGTAATCATATATTTTCAATAGCTATTTATTAATAAAGATAAACTTTTATAACTTTATGATCCAAGTTTATACTCTTATCACTCTTATCATGAGTTTACAGTTTGACATATGACTTCCAACATTTTCTATCAAACTGATGCATTTTTATACTTTTTAACAGATTATGGATTTTGTCTTTAAGCTTATCGTCTGCCTTGGTCCATGCATGCTTGATGGAAGGAAATTTAGGGCGGTTAGTTCAAGCTTATTTTATAAAAAAACTTATTTTTTAAAAAATTTTTGTAAATTTTTATGATATTTATTTAAACTTGTAAAAATAATCAAATTTGAAAAAAAAAGATGCAAATTTCTAATTATTTTAAGAGGTTACTTTGAGTCTAAAAATAATTTGATATGATAGATGAGAGAGAATAGTTTAAAAAGGTTGGATAAGCAAAGATATCATAAAATTTAAACTAATTAAATAATAAATTATAAAACAAAATAAAAAAATATCATAAAATTCAAAAATAACTGTCTAATAATTGATCGCTCTCGCAAGTGTATGAGATCGCAGTAATAAATTACCTGGAGTATTCCAGGTGTCGAACCCACAGGGAAGTTACACTTTTACTAATTTAAATAATTAATAGTTCAAGAAAAATAGATAAAATGGATAATTTTGATAAAATATAAGGAATAAAAATAAATCAAGAAAATAATGATGATAAAAATGCAATCACTTGAAGCGTCGGGATTTAGGATTCACTCTATAGGTTGCTAGTTTCTACCCTTTGAGTTGACTCGGATCAATTATAATGGCAACTATTCCTAAAATGTCCTAATATTCTCCCGAATTATTAGTCCCTTTTTAATTAGTGTTGAATTCGTTCCCACGATACCCAAACAACTAATTAAACCGTGAAGCTATAGTTTAAGTCACCATAAATTTCTAGAACTATCCCTAGCCTAGTTATTTATGTTTATTTCTCTAGATCTAAGTTCTCTCTTCACCTCCCAGTCTATCAAGATTACCCATAGATTTGATTAAATGGTGGCAGTCATTAAATCAATATGAAGAACAAGAGAAATAAATATAATTGGGAAAAAAAAAATATTCATAATATAAATGCAAAGAGTCAAAACAAAGGAAATAGAAAACTAGCTCCCTAATTGGGCTACATCCTTATCCCAACTGGGTAATTTAGAAACACATAATAAAATGAAATAAAACCGTTCTAAAATCTCCAATCATGAAAAATGATCACAGAGAAAATTAAGGAGTAGAAGAGAAATAATTATAATTTGTGAAACTCTTCAATGATCTCGCTTTCAGCCTTCAGAATACTTCTACGAGCTCCAAATATCTCAGAGAGAATTCTTGAAGTACTCAGATAAGTGATTGGATGTCTTTCCTCTTGATGGAGGGAGTATTTATAGTTAAAGTGAAGGCTTCTTCTTTTTCTTCCTTGTCAATGTGGACTTTGATATATATATATATATTTATTTATTTATTTATTTATTTATTTATTTATTTATTTCTCTTTCCTTCTTTCCTTCTATTTGTTTTATTCTTTTCTCTGCAAAATATAGAGATAAAAAGATATAGATAAAAAGATATGAGTGGATTTTGTATTAAAATTCCTTTTTCTCTTATAATTAAGTGATGAGGGAAAAATATATAATATCAATTAAATAGTTATGAAATCTTAATAAATATAATCAAATTCAAATTAAAATCTATACCCATTTAATTATAAAATATTCACTTATCAATAATCACTCTTTTTAATTATTGTAACCAAACATAAAATAATGTCTGATTTTTATAAAATCTCTATATTATCTGAAATTACTTATTTTTTAATTTTAAACAAATATAAAGAGAAAGAGATGGAACCTGTTAAAATATCATTCAAACACCTTTTCTATATACAAAGTTTCTTGAAGAAATTTCTTTTCTTAAGGGGAAAAGGAATATTGTAGAAACCTTGATTCAGCTCTGGCCAAAAAAAAAAGCCTCATTCAGCTTTAGATTATTGAATATAAACACATAGTAAGACTTATATACTTAGCTTTATATACTTAATAGACTTATATTCAATCAAAATGTGACAAGTGGATGTTAACATATTAATAAAATTAGTAACAAAATTTGTTATAGAATAAATAATCTATAATCATATATCTTAATTTAATTGAAAACAAACACATTAAATATATAAGGTTAATTAAGCATATAAGTTTTTTTTTCTATAACACATTCCCAAATGAAGTGCATGGTAATTCGATTAAACTTGTAATCATGTTCCAAGGTTTTTTATTGAGCACAGGTATGATCCTATTCAAGACACGGTCGGACATTAAATATGAGTATTTGAATATTGGTTTATTACATTATGGGAAACTAGCTCCTTCTTTTAGCTCAACTATCCTCATTGTGAGCAAATGGCCCAATTCCAAGTTTTGATCCTGCTTTCATTGGAGGCTGACCGTAATTTTTTTTTTTTTTTTGGGTCTGAAAGGTTGACCGTAAATTAGCTCATCTAGAATTATGTTAAAGCAACAAAACCCTACGAACATAAAAGGTATAAGAAAAACCCAAAACTTGGTACATAATAAAGGATTTTATGCAACGTAAAACAATTAACTTTTTTGAGAATAAAATATTTTTATAACATGGTATTAAAGTCATAACAATCAAAATAGTTAAAAGTTAGACTTGATTAAAAAAAAGTTAAAATCTATACATTAATGTCACATACTGTTGATATTGCAGCTACCCATCACGCAAGCCAAGTTTAGAAGTTGACGAGAATTCAAGGTCGGCGTGTTTCACTACATTTAATAGACGCAAAAGCTCCAAATTAATTGTTTCTTGGACAGAGTCAATAGATTTGAATTGGATGAGTAGTCTAAATCTACTTGTTTAATGGGTGTCTTGATTACAGTCATAAGATTTTATTAATATTTTAAAATTATCAAAATATTACCTTTCAAAAATTCAAAACAACGTTCATGATGAACACTTGTCACATGTATGTTGTTCCTACCAAAAATATAACCTTTTTATATTTTGAAGTATTATCTAATAAAATTTTTAGCAGTAGTTTAATTAAACTAAATGATTGTTATTGTGCCATACATATGAAACATTCATTGAATAAATAAATTTCTATTACTCACCAAAAAATACAGTCAACTATATGCAACTATGCATGTTTGCAGGTTACCATACCGTTATAAAGAGGGCAAGTCCAGGACCATTATTTGGGGATGAAACTCGAAACACGCACGCCACATGCACACAACCACATAATTCAGGATCCCAATAATGTTCCCTTGCCGTTAGACAGAGGGATTGTTTTCCTTTGTTGTATACGTTTGACCTCATTCATTTAGGTGTAATATTTTAACTATTTTCTGTTTTTATTTTTTTTTGTCTAATATTTCCCTTCAACTTTTAAAAATAGTGTAATTTAATTTTATTATTAACAAAAATTAATTGTGATAATTAGTTAACTAAAAAATAAAAAGGACCTCACAAGTTACAAAAAAACCAAAAAGTTATGGTAAAAATATAAAAATTACAGACAATGACCCAAAAAATAACAAAAATGACCAAGAAAATTTTGTTCGTCATGTTTTATAATTATTGAGATTTATTTTTAGTCAACTAATAGTCACAGTTAACAGTATGGATCAAATTACATCATTTTTAAAAGTTGAAAAGAAACATATAATTTATGAGTCAATTTGTTCTTTTATCCTATATCACAACATCTTGGCTTCCAAATGTTTTTCTTACAATTTGAAACAAGAAGAAACAATAAATGCCAAAGCCTGGTTGTTGTTAAATGTATATTGCTAGTCTTTGTAATGAAGTCTAACCTCGATTTATTGGAAAGTGTCGTACATTGATATAGCCTCGTTGACAAGTGTGCTTACTTTAGACAAAATGTTAAATGGTCTTTTATGTTTTTATTGTTAATCTCTCTATCACTTTTGCATTTATTCTCATCTTTAGTTTTTGTCTCTTGTTAATTGAGAAATAGAGGTAAGCTGCTGTGCTCATCATCTCAAAATTTTCACTTTTGCTTTGAATTTTGACTCATTTCTTTCTTCCTTTTTAAACTTTTTAAACTACTCAAACAAAAAAAAATGAAATGCATAAATTTTAAATATGAGATTTGAAATATGTGATTTTAAATCTAAAATTTAAATTTAAATCTACCAATTCACATACTACCTGAGAATATTATTTAATTATTAGAAATAGTACATATTATATATTCTCTCTCATTAGTAAAAGGTAAAGTGTACGCCTCCCTCAACTAGATTAGTCTAGTTATTAAAATCTCACCTACTTGTGTAATGAATAATAAGTGCCCCTGCTACTCACATTATCTTAGTTGATTTTATAAGTACTTTTTAAACCGTTCCAATTACTCAATTAGCAAGTCAATTCCAAATGCTTTGGGCCAAACATTCCCACCACCTCTCGTGTGTGTGTGTATGTAACAGTAACAATTATAATAATAATTATCACTTGAAATTCTAGACTATAGCTAGAATAATCTTAATACCCATGCATGCAAGTGTGCTAGAGATAGCTTCTCCATAGATTTTTTTTCCTTTTTGGTTTTTTTTTCACATGCTGGGAAAGGGACTATAAATTATTTCCCCCCTTTTTTTTCCAATTCTTACATAACCGACGAGTAATCGATACTAAAATAATTATTAAAAAAAGGTAGCAAGACAATTCCTAAAGCCCCAGGCACTTCCTACTTAAATAGAAACGCACATACCCTCGTAATTACAACACTCCATGACACTCAAATACTCAATCTTGGTTTGAAGTTAAGATCTCAAGGTTCAGGTGAGTTTAATTCTTTCGGTTTTCGTTAAAAAAACAAGATATATACTAAACTGATATTCTTCTATACATCTGTTACACAAGTGTGAGAAAGCTTCTTGAAACAATTCAATGGATCAGATGGAGGAAGCACCACAACGGATTTTGTCCCTACCCTTATGGCTCACCTTGATCCAACTTTTCCTTAATCTTGGCGACGCAATGCTAGATGGAAGGAAACTCATCAACAATGCCCACCCTGGTAAGCAACCCAAGTTTCTGCAAGATAATGTTTTATTTATGTTTCAACAATGGTTTACCACTCAAGATTTCCTTTAATTTCAAGTCAACCATTTGTGTTGTTCAATAAAGTTGGATAAATTTGTATACAGAATTCGTTAGCATTCACTGTGGAGCAAGCAATGATTACACTGACCCACGAACTGGGATCTCATATCAGACAGACATCGGTTTTGTAGAAACAGGTACAAATGCAATGGTGGCACCTGAATCAAGATACGGAAATAGATTATCCTTTATTTGGGAGACAACTAAAGACACTGAGAAGTTTTCCAAAAGGAAAAAGGAATTGCTACACTCTAAAACCAAAGCAAGGAAAAAAAATGACAGTTACCTCATAAGAGCTGTCTTTGCATATGGAGACTATGATGGCAAAAATCAAACTCCAACTTTTGAGTTGTATCTCGTCTCCAATTATTGGACAAATGTCGTACCAGGATGCATATATTATTTTACTGAGATTATCCATAACTCCACAACTGACACCATCATGTTTGCCTTGTTAAGACTGGCAAAGTGATACCTTTCATTTCTATATTGGAACTACGACCCCTTAGCAATTCTATTTATCTGACTTCCTCTCCTTCTCAATCACTTTTAGTCTACATGTCAAGAATTCATGTTGGTCCCACTAATTCGGCTTTGGATCAGTATAACAGGTGACTCTAATTTTTATACTTTTGGAAAAATATAATTGTTAGTCCCTATGCTTCTAGCGTGTTTCGGTATTAATGTTTATACTTTTTTTCATTGCTTCAAGTCCTTTAAGTTTCATATGTTTGCAATATTAGTTCTTATCATCATTGATGGAGTTAAATTTGCTGATATGTATATAACTTATTTAATTTTGTTGCCAAGTTGGTAAAATTATGATGACATGGATATCATATGAGCAAAATGCCTACTACTCTTTTTGTCCATCTACCCCAGCTATATGTGTGTAATTTTTTTTTCCTTTTTGAAGCGTCATCCAGTGCACGCTTAAGGATTCTAATGTAATGTTCTGCTTAATTTTTTTTTTTTGTCTTCGACTCCTTTTTTAGACAATGCATTATAATTCTAACAAGTTAGCACAAGAAATAACATAACTTATGCACATGTTAGCCACCATTAAGTCTTTATAGTTATATTTACAAATATAGAGACAAAAGTTGTAGACAGATGAAACTTAAGGGGCTTGAAACAATGAGGAAAAAAATATAGGGACTAATACTAAAACATGTTAAAAGTATAGGGACCGATAATAGCATTTTCCCTTAATATGTTCTAGCTTGTTGTGTTTGCAAGTGTTCATTAATTGGCTCTTAAAAAAATTATTTCCTCTCTAATAATGCAAGTATACATAGGTACACGGATGACATATATGATCGTGTGTGGTGCAAGGTCGGCTATGATCTTCAACGACGACTAGCTTGGTACCCAGTCAATGGATCTGAAGATGTCAATCTGAGAAGTAGAAATGATTCTTATAAATTACCTGCACAAGTGCTACTATCTGCAGCCAAATCATTGAATCGCTCCTTTGCTTTGAACTTCAACTTTAATTCTCTCTGGTCCTCAATTGAAAAATCTTTCAACTATTTTGTCTACTTTCACTTTGTTGAAATTGAGAAGCTTCTCCCTGGACAGAGAAGAGTTATTAATATCACTCTGAATGATAAAATATCCTCCCAGCGCCTCTAACTCTTGAATATTTGAAGCCAGTGACTGTTACTAATGTTGCAATTCCAAATGAGGATAATGTTCGTTTCAGCATGAGTGCAACATCAGAATCCGATGCTCCTCCAATTCTCAGTGCCTTTGAGATTTATAAATTTATGACACCGCTTGCTTACCCCACAAACAAAAGAGATGGTGTGCTTCTTCATTCCTCATTATTCAACTAGTTTTTTTTCAGTTTTATCCTTTGGCTTTAATTTTTAAGACCCTATTTATTGTTGGCATAATAATAGTGGATGCCATTCTGGACATCAAAAACACATACAAAATCTCAAAAGTAGATTGGCAAGGTGACCCATGTGTTCCAAATGAATATACATGGGAGGGACTTTTTTGCAGTTTGGCCAACAATGACTCCAACGCAAGGACCACCTCCCTGCAAGTATTTCTCTTCTTGAATTAAGGAAAAAATGTCACTGTCATGCCTCGAAAATAGAAGGTGACCGGCACGGGTGCGAACTACATCACGCATTCCTGTAAGCCTTAAAATGAAAATTCCTTCCATTTTAAAAAAATAATCAGATTATATAGAAATTTTAACACTTTTAATATTAATTGTCATAACAAGACTTCAACATTTTTTTTTAGAAATTTCGGCAAAACCTCCCCTATAAATACGATTTCTTGAAAATTCTACAACAAAATTTTCTAGAAAACAGTATCAATCAGGAGCTTAGTTCCTTCTAGCCAGCAACAGTATATAGATCAAAATAAAATCCTAATAAGAATCTATGTGGAGCAATTAATCTTTCTTTTAAATTAAAAATACATACAACTTAAAGATTTATATCAAAAAGTGACAGTACCAAACAGAATTTCCACCCAATGTAGCTATATTGCCCTTCAGAGGTCGATGGTGGGATCGGTGTCAGCTGACAAATCTGAGATCAAAAATAAGTTTTTCAGTGAATAACGTCCCAACAATAAATAATTGGTCATGAATAAACAAGAAAGTTTAGAATAATTATGTAATTAAAGAGACAACTTCTTCCATGAAAATTCAATAAACTTTAGAATAAAATAGCTCTATAAGCTTTTAAATAAAATCTTAAACCATTGATCTATCATAACAAATGTTAATATCACTTGATTTCAAGAAAGCACATAAATGAAATAAATATTTGTAAATAATTTATTAAATAAAAATCAATAGAATATAAAATCACTAAATAATCAAATTCACAATTTTAGGGACTTATCAGAACAATAAACAAATATGGACATACAGTCCATGAGGGTAAATAACCGAACGTGGCTTATGTCATGAATACAAACATGGACACATAATCTACGAGAGTAAGTAACTAAATGCAGCCAAAGCCATGAAACAAACGTGGACACACAGTCCACGAGGGTAATACTAACCAAACGCGGCTTGAAGTCACGAAAACAAATGTAGGTATGAGACTCACGAATAACAAACGTGAGAACAAAGCTCATGAAAATCAAACTAGCTAGTGATTGACCATAGCGTGCCAAGGGCTAACAGGACTGTCATTAGCAACCAGTGTTTTGTATAA